AGCCTGCAGAGTCCTAGCTGATGAAGAAGAGCTCACACTGGAGAAGACAGCCTGCAGAGTCCTAGCTGATGAAGAAGAGCTCACACTGGAGAGGACAGCCTGCAGAGTCCTAGCTGATGAAGAAGAGCTCACACTGGAGAGGACAGCCTGCAGAGTCCTAGCTGATGAAGAAGAGTTTACACTGTAGAAGACGGCCTGGTAAAAAAAAGAGCTCATATCCTTCTAAGGTATCCTAAGAAGCACATGAAGTGGAAAAAGTTACACAGAAAAAACAAAGACCATGTGAAAAAAGTACAGAGCCATATTTAATAAGTAATTCCTATATTCTTGAGCTGTATTTATAAGATCAGGTTAACAGAAAAATGTTTAATATTTCAAGAAAACAGACATCTCGTCTTTTTCTAATCCAATTGTGCCACACTGACGGATTTGATTGTTGAATGCTTTAAGGTACCAGTAATGTCTGTTCAATGTCACATTATGCCTGGCTACCTCTCTGGAGATCAAGAACATTTCCAAGTAGGCAAAAAGGTGCAAGAGCTCAGAGTCTGGCAGGTACCACTGGGCCAGAGATTGCCTCTTATTTGAGTATAACTTCTCTGCAGTTCTCTCATGCATTGTTGCGTTCGTGCTTTTTAGGTCAGAAGTTGGATCATGAAATGAGCATTTTACATCATTACATCTGCACTTCTTCAGCCCATTAACAAAGCTGCCCAAATTCCATCCGGACTCAGAAGACATATACTGAGCTGTCATCAGTAGCTGAGCTTCCCTTTCTGGGCTCATGGCTGAAGAACCGGTGTGTTTATGCAATGTTTTTTTTTTTTTGTTCTACACTATTCACCTGCCACTTTTTTATTTTAAAAAGTATGATGTGACTGAGAATATGTGATGCCTGTTCTTTATTGATGATGCTAGTTATCACATCACAAGGTAAATATTATCAGTTGGTTTCTAACAAGGTATAGACTGCTTGCGAAACAGAGCTATTATACAGTACGTCTGTAAAATCAAGCACACATTGACCTGAATGATGTATACACAAAGCTAAGAGCATGTTTCAACCGCTGTTAGGGAATGACAGTAATTTAGGAAGATTAACCCCAGTCTTCTTACTTTACGTGACATTGCTTTAATCAGGAACAGAACACCAACCGACTGCTTTTCTTGGAAGGGGGGGGATTCAGAGTCCTAATGTTTTTTGAGTGGATATGACCAGTAATATACCTTTGGCGTGTACCATATGTGTCAAACACAGCGATTTTGCTGTTTAAACCACACGTAAAACGAGCACAAAGGATGATAACTGTGTTGAAATATAAAGAGACACAGGTCACAGAGCCAGCGGAGTCAGAAGAGAGCAGTGTACAGGGCTCTGCACGTGCAGCTGGAAGGGTATATATGTAAGTCCTTGCTTCAGGAGCTACTATTGGGGTATTAATAGCCTACAGTATAATGGATAAGGTACCTAGTAAAGAGAGTCATACATCCTTTGATTGAAGCACCAACTACATCTAAAAATATATTTGCTTTCAATTCCACTAGATCTTTACGTCTAAAGAGCGTGCGTGTGTTTAAACTACCTCTATACAGCGGGAGTCAGACCAGCACAAGTTGTTATTTCTTTTCTGTAATGTCCTGTCTCTTTCATGAACTAGCTCCACTGAATTATCCTGACTGAGCAATCAGCTATGTGATAATTTGTCCCCTGTATGAGTTTTCTGTGCAAGCAATGTGTTTTATTATTTAAATGTAAGTGAGAGTTACACATACTGTGAAGGTACACAGAGACAGGAAGATGTTTTCATAACCAAACAGCATGTTTGTGTTTTATGTGAGAAGTAAATCTTAGCACTCGATTAACTGTTTTAAATGTTACAGAGAAAAGGAGAAAGAGAAAATTTTCACTCATGGCCTACAAAAAAAACCTTGCTTTGGCTCTTCCTAAAGAAACACAAATTGTAAATCAAGGCTGAAGTCTTTCTCCCTGAAGTTCCCGTCACAGCAATATAGCAAAATACAAATACGCGAAATACTGCCATATTTACAAATAACAATTCTGTCAAATACTTAAAGTAACTCTTACAGTAAGTACCCAAATAACTACACAAAACGACTTAAGGAGCTTAACATCATTTTCCCCATTATAAATTGCCTTAGCTTGTATAAAAGCAAAACCTAATAGTTTTTTTTAAAAAAAAAAACCGTCTTCACGCTCCGTTTCCAGTCGCCCCGGGCTGAAATGATTAAGATCATTGCTGTTCCTGCAGGCGAGCTGTGGAAACGCCGGACTGCCGCTATTTGGATTTCAAAATCGCATCCTGCTGCGCCCGGGCAGCCGCACACCCGAGAGGCCCGTCCGCTCAGACAGCAGCCAGAAAGTGTTTCCACCAGACTGTACATAACTGAACCCACAGGGGAGGCTTGGGTGTCTCTTAACGAGGGGGGGTTCACAGGATTGGCTGATAATTATGCGATAAATTCGAACTAAGCAATGCCTTCAGGACATCCTCGCCTTCACGCCGGCGATGTTCATATTGTGCTGCAGTCAGTTTATGCTAATCGATAGGATATATTTATTAATTTGCCTAAACTGCAATAATAAATGTATAACATGGTCTAGGCCCTGCACTGTGAAAAAACACATTAATACATAGAAGAAATAAGTGCTACTGATAACTTTAACATAATTCGTTTAATATCCTCGTGAACAATCCCCGAATAAGTACAGGTAATACTAAATAAAGTTACAGAGCTTATAGGATAACAGTAAAAAGTGTTTTTCAATTTCAGACAAATTCATCTCAATAACGTGAAACGAGTTTTTAAAAGACTTTTAACCGTGCCTTTCCTTTTTATGTCTCAATGTTTTAATAATATTAACCCAACAGCAACCTTGATAATAAACAACAACAGCAACAACAATAGTAATTAATTAGTAAAATTCGAATTGAAGCTTCTTGCATTTTCTGAATTGGGCATTTGGTTATATGAAGCTGCTACTGCCGCTTGTAATTAAAAGTGTCTTTTCCATAATAAAACTAAGGAATCCACGTAACGATCTCCATTTTAATTGACATACCTGTAAGGTAAAAGTTGCACGGAATAGCAACCTTGAAGGTTTGTGCAACACAGAACATTTCTTACCTATCTGACAGTAGATGGTTGTTGTCATCAGTAACTTCATCGCAGTCCAGATTACAAAACATCCCACACGTTCCTGACGTGTCATTGTCCTGTGAACGCAAATAAATGAAAATAACTCGAACTCTGCATTTGGTAAATATTCCGAAGTCTGATACACTGCTTCAAACGTGCCTTTCAAACGGACTGTGGCCTTTCTATCCTCCTCTTACTGAGATCAGTGACTGAATCAGTTTCTAGCGAGGAAATGCTTCTAAGAAAATGCTAAGTAACGCCAGTGCACAGCGGTTCCCTAAGAGTTTGTTACTTCTCACACAGCTGTGCCTGCAGAGCATCAGATAACAGACCTCTGAAGGACTGAGCTCAGCTGACGGACCACAGACTGCCTGGCAGCCGGCGGCGCGCCCTTTCAGATCAGCGCGTAAGGACAGAACACGAAAAGTGTTCATGGAATAAACGACAAATGCAAAACGGCCATCATGCATTACTCGAGCGAAGCTGTGACTGGATTCAAATGAATAATTAGTAGTCTATATACAGTATGTTCCTGTATGGGAATCAGTGCGTAGTTTGGGAGAAAAGAATCACAATTACCATACGGTATTAGCTTTTCTTGATATATTCAATGTACTACTTTAAGCATTTATTGTTAACATTTAGAGTCATGCCAAATTATGAGTATGTTTAATATCAGCGTTGATATTTTAGGTGGAATATATCCTGTTCCCTTGTCCTTAATACACAAGACAGAAAAAAAAAGTCTAAACTGGGCAATTTAATTTTTTTTGCTTTAGCACCAAGCTTTTCTCTAATTTTATAGACATGTTAAGGAGTTGCTTCTCGGGATGCTTGTCGGAGAATGTACAGGGTTGATTTCCTTCGCTGCTCCAGGAGTGACTTTGAAATAGAAGAGTTTGAGACATTTAAGAATTTGAGTCTCTTCATGCTAGATTGGCAGAAGAAGGAGGTGTAAACATCCAAATAGTTTAGCCAAAGGTCTCCAGAGTGTCAGGGCAGCCATGGATAGTCTGAACAGGAAGAGGGAGGGACAAAAGAAACTGTAGTCCAGAAATCAACCACGATTAGACCAGGACTGGTCAGGAGGGTGTAAAGATGTACATTATAAAAGTTAAACAGTTGGACAATAATTTTCCAGTGGCAGTCTGAGAGGGGCAAGACAGCGAGTCAACCCAATAGCCTTGATTACCTTGGCCAATGAGAATAACCTCTCTTCTAAACTGCTTTGATGGGATAGCTGCAAAAATGATGTTGCTTTTATGTCTCTTGATGTCTTTCATTCCATGTCAGCAAATATCTCATATGGCTGCCAGGACAAAACCAGCACAAAACACACTTTTAACAATATATTAACTTCTGACCAATGTCACTAAAGACTGGCTGTGTAATTTGGCCTGTAATTATCTTGTATAGACTATAATTACAGACATTCCACATATACATACGAAAGGTAGTAAAGTAATTTACTGGGGGAAAACCTTTTATGGAAGAGTCAGAATGACACTGAGTTTAAAAATTACTTTTAAAACAATTTTTGTGACTGAATCCACAGTCAAGGCAGTCTTCATGCAGCACAATAAGAAGCGCAGGTCGAAATGTTTTTTTGCTTGCATTTCAAATCTTCCTCTCAGAAAAAAAAACAGCTTTGCAAACAAAAATGGTAATAATAATAATAATTGCCTGTGTGTTCTGCAAGCTCTTACACCATTTCAGGACTTTTCACCTTATTAAACTAAAAACAGATGGCCAAATGCTTTCGAAAAAGTTACACATCCAAAGGGCTTAAGTTTGTATGGGTTGGAGGATTACATGTAAAAAATGTCTTTATATTCATTATTTAATCTTGGCAAGTAGGTTAATAGTACATTGCCTTCAGAGACATTAGCTTTATCTTTATGTAAACAAGATTTGGACTGGGTTGAAGATTTTCTTTTCAATTGTAATTATCTACAACTTAAATGAAGCCCCGAAAATATTACTGGTATTTGCGTAGCTGAATGAACGTGACAGATTGATTTAAAGAGCATTATTAACCGTCAGCTTTTGTACACTTGGCTGAACTTGGCTATTTTGTACTATGCATGATTGCCAAAGGTTTTAAGGGAAAAGTAACCAAATTTAATATATTTGTGTCTGTAGATTCTTTTTAATATCTAAAACCATCTGTTGGAAATAATTAATTCTGTGACTGCTTGGTGATATACTGTACACACTGTATACAAGCAATGTAAATGTTAATAAATGACCGTCTGCTGTTCATATACAGGTGAAGCCTGTTGCTGTGCATTATTTTATTTTTTTTAAATGCTTGGACACCATTCATCTGCACTAAGTGGTCTCACCTGTGTACCTACATCAAGACAGAAACACATGAAACATTTAATTATAGATGTCGTACTGTAAGTCAGATATCCTCTGTTGAAAATAAACATACTGTATGTAAGTAGACATCAACAATCAAGGTTTTAATCAATTTTGAAAAAATACATAGTAACTAAATAAACTTAGAAGAGGAGAATTCATATATTGATCAAACTGTAATCTAATGTTTGTTTTAATTTAACTGTTCTGAGCACTAAGATGTAAATCTATTATATAAATCTTTCCAGCTAATATAAATCTTTCCTCCTAAAGAATGAATAATCCTAATGAAGGCAGGCAGAACCTTTTAATTAAACCACTCTTCAAAGCAGTATTTTGACTGACCCAGGATTTCTAGCCCGCAGCTCTCTAAGCATTTCTGTTGTGGTCAGTATGGCTGCAGGGAAGGTGTTGATTAGCAGGAAGTGTTCTTCCTGAGTTCTGACTCATTCAAGCTGAGCTAGTCTGGAGTTATAAACTCTCCTGTGTTTGTCTGTCTTTGTGGTTATTGTGTGTAGCCTATTAATATAGGTAGTAATATTGTTTATGACTTCTGCACAAATACTTTGAAGTACAGTATCATGATGCCTGTTGGTGGCCCTGTGGCTCAGGCTCTGCGCCTGTGGCTGGAAGGTTGCTGGTTCGTATCCTGCGGGCGGCAGAGGAATCCTACTCTGTTGGGCCCCTGAGCAAGGCCCTTAACCCCAACTGCTCCCGGGGTGCTGTATAAATGGCTCTAAGCTTCTTTCTGTGTCTGTGTGTCTCATGGAGAGGAAGCTGGGGTATGAGAAAAGACAAATTTCTAATATGAGAAATTGTATATGGCCAATAAAGTGATCTCCTTAATGTCCTCTCCCTGAATCTGCTTATTTATTACTACATATAAAAACATGATTTGACTGGTATTTATACTGATGCATTTTGTGTACAGAAACTTTCTATTGTCTAGTTTTTGAGACTGAGGAGCATGTGTATCTTCTTAGAATACAGATTAGTGAAGCCCTAACAATTTAGATTACTAATTACACATTGTGAAGTGCTTAGATTTATTATACATTAAACCATACAAATGTAGTGCTATAGGCTCTGGCCATGTCGTGGCTATCAGCAGGGCATACAATAAGATAAGATTGCCTATGGAGTCAGAGCACAGGGTCAGCTGTTAAGCAGCTGGGGTTAAGGGCCTTGCTCAGGGGCCTACCGGAGGTAGGATTTCTCTAGTAGCCACAGGATACAAACCAGCAACCTTCCAGCCACAGGCAGAGATCCTTAGCCACAGAGCCACCACACAACCACCCCCAATGTATTTCAGATATTAACTTTAGTAGTGGCATTTAGTAATTCCTTTGTCAGGGATTGAACACCATTCATAAAATAATAACCTAATTTTGCTTGTAAACTTTCTGAAGACTGGGATAAAATTCTTAAAAGCTAATGCGAGAGTTTGATGAACAGTTACAGGAAACTTCTAGTTGAAGTGATAGCTGCTCAAGGATGTATTGCCAGTTGCTGAGTCTAAGAACTGGCATACTTAGTCACATGAGGATGTTTACTCTTATTAATTGACTAATCCAGTTATACTGTTCTTATTTCTTTGTGCTATATGTTTAATTAGGTTATCTTCATCTTTTATCAAGACTTTCATGAAGTTCTCATAACTGTACATCAATGATCAGGATCAGCATCAATAATCAGTCTTAAACAGACATCAGAGGACAATAACTGATCTTTCCTGTGAAGATGAAACTGGGTGTCCTGCACTAGAGGGTAAAACTTCAAAGTTGCTTCATAAGTTGTGCTTTTCACATTAATCTTTGAATGTTTGATTTTCTGCCTGGTCAGGTTCTTTCTTTCAAAGCAGGTTCCAGTGCTGTGTTTTGGGGCAGTGCATGATGGATCCAGTGGGCGAGGACAGTGATCAATGTAGCACGCACAGCAAGTAAACCTTGGGCACAGTACGAAGGCAAAGTCTTATCACACAGCACTTCTTAAACAAATCCCTAACATTTTAAGTTTTCCAGTGTTAGTCATTAACTCTTTGTACCTCCATTTCATTGTTGTGTTAAGCTTTCCAAAGGAGAAAATGCATCAATCTGTATTAATGTTGGCTTAAAAGACATTCAGTATTAAATCAGATGTTACTACTCATTGAGCTGGAACAGTTCTTGTTTCATATCTGGCATGAACACAGCTTAACCAAGTGAACTGAATTTTCTGAGCAACAGAGACTCTCTGTTATTAAAGAAAGTACATTCAGTAGATAAACACTCAGCACCAGTTTTACATTTAAAAGTCACTGGAAACACCCTTTGAGATATAATACTTATTGAAGGAGAATCCCTCCTAATTGTGATTCTGGTTAGCTCAGTGGTATTAGATGAGAAACATTTAAACAGTTGGATTTTTTTAGTTGCTCAGTGGGTATGCAGTAAATATTCCAAGGAATATTCTGAGAGAAAAAAGCAGCTTTCATCTTAAAATCTAACATGCGTTGATTTTTTATGAAACAAAAAAACTCCTGGAGAATAAACTACAAATTTATTGACCTCCCTGGGGTCTTAAAGACATGCGAGCCAAAGCACACATTACAGTCTTTCAAAAAAGACATGTATGTTGCTTTGTCTCCTTTTCCTTTCCATTGCAATAGGGGTTTTAGCCAAATGTACTATGCACGCTTTAATAATTCCAGTTTGCACACTTAGATTTTAAAAAGGAAAGAGTAATGCTCAAAATATTTCCGCTGCACATTTTCTTCAGGTTTGATATCATATACTGTAGAACTGCTGAAATGTGTGTTTACAATAGAACACAGTATGGAAGCACGCTGGAGGTCCTCTATAGCTGCTGTAAGGTGGAGGCTTGGGCATGGGCTTGAGCCGCTGTCCTCTCATTGATGCCCAAGCACAGATATTCCCATTTGAAGATTCAAGATGCTCGTGCCAAAGAACCCGATTCAGAG